CTCAGTTTTTTCAGCGGTATCACTTCATCCTGTACCGTCCAAAATCATGGAGCCCATGGTTGCCCGTGCATTAGCTTGCTATCCGGGAAACTGCAACACCACTGCTCTCAAGAAACCCGGCTTTCGTCGACAGCGATCGTGCACAACAAATGTACTGTTAGCCCGGAGTAGCTGGACTGTGTCAGCGGATGCTGGAGAAAACGTACAGCATTCGACCCCGTGGATCATCGGATTCTCCACTCCAAGCTGCAGTACTATGGCATCAATGACCCCCTTATAGCCTGGATCGCCAACTTTCTCCTACAATAATAGCTGGTGGTTAGAGTTCGAAACACATTATCAGACCCTATATAAGTTGAATGTGGTGTGCTTCAGGGCTCTGTTCTAGGGCTACAATGGTTTTCGGTAGTTATCAACGAGCTGGCGCAGACAATCGGTTCAAGTTTTCTAATGTTTGCTGACGACAGCTAGATATAGCGCAGGATTCAGTAGGACGCCGATCTGGATATGCTGCAGCATGACTTGGACATGGTACAGCAGTTGTCAAACGAAAATTTGCACAATTTCAATGTGAGCAAATGCAAGATACTCTTCATATGCCACCAGAATATCTACTGCTACATGCTCGGAACGCAAGTACTGCAGCGATCTTCCGTCGAACGCGACCTGGGCGTGCTGGTTCAGAATGAATTGAGTTGTTCCCAGCAATCTGAAAAGGCATCAAAAACTGCTAATCAACACTCCGGGCTGCTTAGATGGACATTCGGACAGTTCGACATCACCATGTTCCGACAATTGCTCAGTGCATATGTTCGCACCCACGTCGATTACGCAATTCAGCCATGGTTAAAGTACGATCTTACTGCACTTGAGCGGCCTCAACTTCGGGCATCTAAATACTTAATCGGAATGAGAAGTCTATCATACGAGCAAAGACTGGAAGGTTTGAGAGTGTTTAGCTGACGGTATCATCGAGTATGCTGAGAACTGCTAATGGTATAACTGACTCTAAACAACCCAAATCATGAGTGCGGAGAAAAGAGCTATTGCGAGAAGATCGATAAGGCCATCACTTTTACAGCCAAATTACCAACTGCCTTGTTGAAGTACCTGCCTGACCAAGTCTCACGGTCATCTGGGCAGCAGTCCACATAGGTAGACATGACGGAGCAAAATATTGAGCACTAAGGTTGCATACGCTAGGAGCATTGCCACGGACCAGTAAGCTGTAGGGTACCCAAACGGAGGCCTCTGCTACAAGCAAGAAGCTCGGTGTGCAATAGCACCATGACCGATAACTAATAAGTATATAAACGATGTATCGGAGACCCAAGTAATATCCTACTTATGGATCCGGTCTGGATTGGTGAACATTTGCTCCAACAGCGCCAATATGTGGACTGTAATCCACGCATCGGATATCCCCAAATTACCACGGCGTTTGGAGTGGCACAGACTGCTGTAGAAGCAGGCAATGCTCAAAGAATTAAGTTCACCCCGACCTATCATTGGCACCATTCGTCCGGAGATTGATTTAGTCATCAAGTGATGTACAATTGCTGATTCATCTATATAGAGACCCAGGGTTAGATGGATATAGATATAATGGAAGGAGATGTTGAAGTGTCCACCTGCTTTCTGACTACAGTACAGAAATCGCTTGATGCACTTAGCATGCACTTTGTGCAGCCACACGGTAGTGATGGCGTAGCATTCTTTCACCATATTCTGCTGTAAATTCCGGAGAGAAATCGGCTTGTTTCCGTAAACCCTTCGTTTCAAATATCTCCACAGAAAACAGCAGCTGGTTTAAATCCGGTGACGGTGCGGGTCACTCGATGGGGTCTTTACGACCGATCAACGTTGTCGGAATTCCTCGCAGAGGTATTCTCGTACCGATTGACCATAATGTGCTGGTGCACCATAATGCTGCAACCATATAGTACTGCGAACTCCGCCCACCTCCAACTGTGGCAGTACGCAAGTCTGGAGAAATACCTTGTGCGACTATTCTAGCCAAAGTAAGGGTTGAGTACTGTAAAACAATAACCGGTCAGGTTCCTGGAAAAGAAAACTGGTCCCAGGCTTTTCTGATCAGTCATACCAGCCCAAACCATTAGCTTGGCGCTTTGCTGAATACGTGACGCTGTGTACCTGCGTGGAGTTGTACTGGCCCGGAAATGCTGTTTGCTCGTTCCATGCAAATGGAAAACCGACTCATCCGTAAACATTACAGACTGAATGCACACGTAATCAAAAACTAACGGAAAAATATGTTCTGTTCATCCGGATCATTTGGATTAAATATCCGAACCTGGAGTGTACGAAACCGACGAAAATTGCGTGCGTTCCAAATCTTCTGAACCGTGTAACGGATGGTGTCAAAATGCTGGGCGATTCTACGTATATTGAGGTCTTGCCTCTCAGATACTTAACGTACAACGGTGCAAGCGGTAAAATCTACAAAAGTAGTATGAGGCCGCCCTGGATTTCTGCCGTCGCACACACTCCCAGAGTTGTGGAACTAATTCACCAACTGAAGCAAGTAACGGTCACCGATGGGTCACTTTCCGCCGAGTGTTATATCTTCTAGCGCTTTTGTCGGCGTTTAACTCACATTGGTCATATAGTTGGCTAATTTGAACGCGCTGAGCCTCAGGCAAGCTACGACATTCCGGTTGCCGGAACGTCACCGACAGGTGTGTAAACTCGTGTTTCATTGCTGAGACAACGACCAACTGATAAATGACAAGCATGCCACGGCTTGTCGTGGTCCGCGAAACATTCTGTCCTCAAACACTCAGCAGAAACTATCGATCGTTCAAGTATCCGTAGTTTGCGTCTCATCACCTGCAGCGCCGTGTAATTTGGGGTACGCAGACTCCACGCTTGTGTGCGTCGTGCATTGTGTGAGATCCGATTTGGCCTCCGGAGCGCTGTTAGGATTGCCCGGGATTTTCTCAGGGCGCGCAGTATGCGGCAACTTATGGTGAGTCAGTGAAACTCGCTAGACCCACCCCGGAAACACCATATTTCACAGTATGGAATTGTAGCAACCCAAAAGATATTTCTTAGCTAATGTGCACTTTTGTTACTCAATCATACAATGGTGGTTTTTGTTTTAATGCCGACTCTACGGCCATTCTTACCTACCTCCGGCTCACCACTTCTTTCCGCGGTGAGTTCCGACACCGACGTACGCTCTCGTCGCTTCATCCGTTTCTCGTTAGATTGTAGCCTTTCTCGAATATAATCCGTTGTGTCCGTTCTTCTGGTTTTCTGCTATCCCCACCATAGCGAGAACACTCTCGGACTAGTATAGACTAGTCCTACAGAATATCAGCGTGGATGGTTGAATAGTTGGTTGGTTTATCGTCACCGGAATAGCTCGAATTAGTTGGCTGCCGAACAGAGTTCGCCACTTCCAAAACAACTCTGTCTAGACAGCATAGAATGCTGACATCACGAGGTTGCTGACCAGCGGTTTTGCTTCGAGAATTAAAGTCCTAATAAAACATTTTGACAGATTTTTCAGCCCAGTGTGAACATAGAAATTGATGTAAGATCACTTGGCCTTAGCAAAACCACTCATGCGTAAGACGCACCGGAATATAAGTCGCACTGCCGAGCATTTTTAGCACATACGGATTTTAAGCGCGCCTTATAGTCAGAAAAATACCGTAGTGTTCTTGACATTTCAGGGAGTTCGATGCACTTAAAAGAATCATGGTCTCAAAATTTTCATCTCGCTGGGAGCAATACCATTTAAAACAGTAATGCCTGCATGAGGGATCCTGATAGGATCTATTGCATTCTCCCACTTCATTTCATATCGGTTGCGGCTTATAATTTTTGGACATCAGAGTTGGTTGAGAACTCCTCTAGGTATATAGCCATTGTTTCGGGACTTCGCAGTGTGGATAAAATGCCCCCGATCGGCATACCCTTGACACCACGTATACTCAAGTGTTTGACTTCACAGGATGTTCTCTGTTCGTGCCGGTGCATGATCATGTATGTACTGCCCTCATTAGTTCTGCACATGTTTGCGTGTCCACTTCCTCTCCTGTGTAATAACTCCCGACTCCGCGTTCATAGTTTATTATGCAAAATTCTAACTAATATTATTATGCTCGTGAGTAATTGATACGGAACGTTGAACCGTAGGTTGAAAACGTTTGACACATGAACATCACGCACGCACACAGATGACCCCAGGGTTGGATCAACCGCACCTCCCCATCGCGCGGTATCCATACATCCTTCCCTAGTTACCAACGCATTCGGTCAGTCAATGCACAAGACCATCGTGCACCCCATCAATAATCATTTGTCCTGTTATTTCCCAGCCTACAACTTTCGGCAAAGGAAATCGCCAATGGCCCGACGAATGTTTATTCACAGGAGTCGACTACTCCAGCTGAACACTTAGTAGTCGAACACCTTGTCGGTTAGCTACTAGCTTGGTTCCTCATTAGCTACCAACACTAACTATAGTGAGGTAAATGAGTAGGACCACGAGTTGAGGAGAACGTTGCTATCACTTGTCGACTGTTTCTAACCCATATTGCATGGTTTCAAGACCAAGCAAAGCAAGGTGCGCATCGTTGGTCTTTGGTGTGAAGTAGAATCATGAACATTGTTTCTAGAAATCTGATAGCTTGGTTGGCAGTCGCTGCGTTTTCATTAACTATGAAGGAATTTGTACAGAAGCGTTCGCCTCCCATCTGATTACTCTCACTGTTTGCGTACGGTAGCACCGAAGTTTGGAATAGATAGGTAATAAGGAGCAACAGCCGATGCACCTGATTGTCGGCGTCATGCTTTCATCTTGCATGAAGAGAAGGTTGGCTATACTTATCCGGTTTATAGGAGCAAAAATACAGCAATATTACGAACATAGCTTTGTGTATACATTTGGAATGAAACTGGGCCAGTGCCCTACATACTTAGAAGCCGAATGCATCGTTCTCCCTAGTGAATTCTATTTCTTTTAACAGATTGCGTACGTTGCATTCCTACTTTTCTTCACCTATACTCTAATGTTTCGAGTGGTCGCGGAGGAAATCACCTTAGAGGAATCTCTACTGATGGTCTACTTCATTGGACTGCTCATCGATTCTATATACCAAGTGAGTTTCAAATGTTTGTAACATCCATTTCCTGCATTATGTACCGGTGTCTACGATGGGATAACGGAATGATATTCAACAAAGAGAAGCCTTGAGGCAATGCGTATATGTGGCCTTTGGTGATGTCATAGAGGTTAGCTATAATCTGAATTAACGTAGCGACCGGCGTTGTAGGCCGTTTTCATCAACAGTATAACGGTGAAAAGGACCTAGACACAAGTACATCGTTATTTAACAGAGCAATTTGCGGCATTCAGGAGATAACAAATGAAACTTGGCCACTGCAGCTTAAGCTTTTGGTAGTAGGGCAGATCAAATGCCTCACTATCTGACTTATCACAATTTCTAAACAATTTGTGATTAGGATATTTTAAACGCGTCTCAATACGGTGTCGACTGCTTTCCCTCCATTTCTTCGGCCAGTAAGGTTACGACTATAAAAGTGAAGGTAGAATGTACGAGTGAAATGGTCACAGAAGCACGCCGCCAGACAGCAGGCAAAGTACAATGGATTCAGACACGGTAGAGTTCGATTAAAATGCGTTTGCTGCTTTTCCCGATATGTGCTGAGTGGAAATTCGCCCAATGTGTTGGATTTCTCAAACTTACGGAATTCCTCCACTACTCGTTTAAGGTGAACAACATAACACAATATTTGTTACTCAAGTCAAGATTGTGCTTTGTGTACCCGTGAGCGATAAATATTCCGCTGCTAAAAATATTAACCAATCGTTCAGACCCAAATGCTTTGCAAAAAATTTCCCCCTTCTCTCCAGAGAAAATTTTGGTGAAGTCACATTATATTGTGCAGCAGTCAGTTCAGTTCCACGTAATTTGTGATGCAATATCCTGCTTGTAGTTGCCTTAATTAAACTCACCATTGAGCTAACTCCACTGAAGGAGATTCGTTTCGAAACGTTTTGTGTAGCCAGATAGTTATTTGTCAATGCCTTCAAGCCTCAACCGGCTCGGTTACCTAATAATTTCATTCACTATATATGTGTCTGCATGCAACATCTCCATTTAGTACTGGACTCCAATATGAATATTTGGCTCCTTGCAGATTGCTGTGCTGCCCCGTCTACTCAACCCGTGACGAAAGTTGAACCATAAAGACCAGCCAGAACCGAGGGTTCCATTGTATCAGAGCATAGCGGAATAAATAGGTAGAAATTATTTGAAGGCAGCTACTAAACACAACAACATCGAAGATGCAATTAATATCCAGTAACACAACTCAAAACTATTCAAGTTCATGGTTAAAGTTGCTGCTGACCGCACATAGATTCGCGGTTGACCTCTGCTTGTGTTCAATCTCAAAGGTAGGTTTATTCAATCTTGCACGATGGCTCGACTTGAACACTGGCTGTAAGCTGACTTGCCGTAGCACAGATATACTACACATTAAGGGTGCGATCAATGCGGCTTATTTCTGGGGACAATCCCTTATCCATTGATTCCCTCTTTGATCTAATACTTAGCAACCAATTTGACTTATGCAACAATTTATATTCTCTCTGAATGACAGTTCGTACACCCTAGATGACAAGAATATTGGTCTTTCCTTCTCAACTTCGTGTAAAAAATTCACTATTTAACGGCTCACGCCTCATCCTATAGTAACTGCCTCTTGTTCTGTCTACCAGTCGACTTATCGCTTCAGTGAAATAAACAAATAAGCAAATGCCATATGCTTCGACGAAAGTGCGAGGCACCGTCCAACGGGGCGTTCGGACCAAGGTGTATAGCAGAATCGCAAAAAAAGACATGGTTCGAGTTGTTCAACGGGGGTTTCCAAACGAATTTTGAAGTGATCGGTATACCAAGTGTATCAGAGATGCGGGGAAATTGAACGGAATAATAGTTGCCGATATAGCCAAACGTTCGACTAATGTAAAACGTCCACCCCGTAAAATCATCCGTGGACCTGATTCCATACAGAGTAGTCCCTCGAAAGGTTTCACCGGTATCTCCATGCTTCACCTAGCCCTGAACGGTGTGGATTAAAAGTAAGTAAGCCATCACTAAGTTAGCTGATCTTTAGGGACCTGATTAAAGGACAATCATCCAGTCCGAGCCATCACTCGACTAATTCGAGTCCTGCACTCGTATTGCCAATGAGCCTATGGCAATTCAAATTTTTCTGGCATATGTTTAGCTTGGAAGCCTCACTCCGTCACTTCAAGAGATCGGCTCGGGACTGGCCAATAAGGAAAAGAACTATAAAGATAGACTGGAATAAAATAAAGTGACAGAAAATATGAACGTCAATATAGGACACATTTCCCTATAAGGTGAGGCAGTTTGATATTTCACCTGACCGAGCTGTACCGCAAAATCTCAGGACGAAACTGCTTGCTAACCTGAAGAGAGACCGCGAAGCCTGGTTGTCTCCTAGTGCATAGGAACTGGTAACAGCCACTACCGTCTGCAATCATCGTATGTTATTCCGTCTGATATAGGAAAAAGGCAGCAGGAAACCTGGTGTTCGCGAGATCATACACGACGAGATTGGACAGCCGATCCACAGCCTGTTAAAACGCTTGGAGCGTTGAGTCATACACTTTGCAAGGCAATTTAACCAACCTGAGTTATCGCTTTCTCTTTCGGGCATTGAGCGCCCTTCTCCCTAGGCCGTCTCCTTGGATCTGCCATCACGCGCTTAAGTTGAATGCCAGACCAGGCTGTTGAAATTGCATAAGGCCGAAGGTGCAGATAGAATTCCCCGAACACGCTTCAAATTCGGGGACCTGCTCCAATGCATGATTTACGCGAGTTACTAGCGGAACTTTGGAAGCAAGAGGCTGTCCCGACAGACTGGAGCCGGCCCCTCATTGTCCCAATTTTCAAGGGAGGCTCCCGTTCGGAATGCAGCAATCATAGTGGGCTCAGTCTGATCTCAATTGTCTCTAAATTGTTTGCGTCTGTCATTCTCCACAGACTGACTGGTACTCGTTAAAGCCATATTCATGAAGAGCAAGTCGGGTTTCGTCGAGGTTGTGGCTGCATCGATCACATCTTCACCTTGCGTCAATTGTTGGGGCACCGCCATGTTTATTGGCGGCCCACTGTTGTCCGGTTTCTTGACATCAAACGTTCCTTCGATTCAGTCGATCGACGTGCCCTTTGGGACTGTCTGCTGAGGAAAGGTGTCCCCGAGAAATATGTGAACATTAGCAAAGCTCTGTACGCGATAGTTCGGGCAGAGTGACGGTTTATGGCAAACTGTCGTTACCCTTCAGGATCACCAACCGTGTGAAACAAGGCTGCTCCCTCTCATCTTTCCTCTTTAACTTCGCTATTGATGAAGTCCAGCGTTCGCTGGACACGACCTATACGGTGTGCTGAGCGACTTTTGGACTTGGAGTACACGGACGATATTGTCCTAATCTGTGACAGCTCCCAATCATGTCAAGCAGCACTGGACCGATTAGCAATGGCTGTCAGTCGTTTGGGGCTATGCTTTGCTCCATCGAAATGCAAAGTACTTCTCCAAGATTGGCAGGGACCCAACCCTGCGCTAACACTTTGTGATGGTATGCTAGAAGTCGTTCAGGAATTCGATTACGTGGGCAGCTGTATTAACGCCTGTTAGGTTAAAGATGAGGTTACGAACCGTATAGCAAAAGCCCGAAGTGATTTCGCCAATCTCCGCCACCTGTAGCGCAGACGCGACATTACTCTCGCCCTGAAGGGCAGAGTTTATAACGCAACTGTCCGTTCAGCTCTCTTAGGTGGTTGTGAAACCTGGCCCATCAGGACGACATACATAAAGAGGCACGTCATATTCGCTCATCGCTGCCTTCGCAGCTTAGCTCATGTCTGGTAGGAGCACCGCGTGAGCAATGAGCGTGTTCGGCATAGCGTATTTGGTGAAAAAAGAGCGAGTGAACCGCTCAGCACTCTTATATCACACACCATTCTCCGATGGATGGGAAACATGTTGCACAGGACAGCATAGCGACGTCCGTGACGTGCATTGTTTGCGCGTTGTGGGTGCGGTTGGAAGAGGAGGAGGGGAGACCAGGCGATAACTTGGTCGAGAGAAATGAAAACCCTCCCTTCGAAGTTGGCGTCGGTTGGTGCATCCCGACTGCCTGGCTGGGGTCCTAAGGACGATGGACACGTTTGTTTGGACACACTTGCCGATATGGCTACGAACCGGCCCCAATGGCATTTGACTTCCTTTGTCCACGCCGCTCCTGCTTAGCCTTCCCCTCCAATCACAGTCGCATTCGTTAGGTATAATATAACTCTTTTCGCGGCAAGATAGCCGGCTGTTAGCTCTCCGGAACGATGTCCATCCGTTAATGGTGAGTCAGCCGGTGTGCAACTGTTGTCTGTTTCCTTGTCCTTTGTATTGCGGCACAATAGCTGAGGTGTTTTTCACCTGAAGCCAACTTGTATAGTGATGATGATAAGCTGTACCGCGGTATCGCCGAAAACAGATACCCGGTCGAAGTGTACCTAAAGAAACGGTCCTGAAACGAACGTTCGGATTGATCTATCAGCTGCATTAATTACGGCGGCAGATAATTTGATGTAGTGGAGCGCTAAGAATTTCTAGATGTTCACGATCTGTTGCTCCCCGAGAATTGAGGAAAAATAACACTACAGACAAAGACTGTAAAGACAAAAATATTACCTTTAGGTTAGCTTAATCCAAGCGTTCCTTAGATACTTCTCGTAATCATACTACCAACTTATTGCTCCTGTTGTGCTTGGCTCCCAAGCATCAGAGAACCACCATACAAACATATTTTCAGCAGGATGTGAATTTGAGTGAAGTATTGGGCATGAAAATCTTGGGGATAATGTGTGACAGTTTGTCCCAGTGACAGTTGCACTCGGTATATATCCTACTTTACTCATCGCATGGGTGCCCTATACTGTGTTTTAGCGCATCTGCTGGTATATCGTAAACGCTAGAAGAGATTAGACTGCAGAATATCTACTTTTATTTAGTGCCTGTGGTGAGGGTTAGGAAACTAGACCGTTCTGCCGAGGTGCATA